TAGATCCAATCCCCCTGTCTCAATGCTCCGTTGGCAACAGAACACCAGTTGCAGCCTTCCTCTTCCCCATGACACCCACATCTCCTATGGATCCCACAGACCATCCCTTTCTAGCCTCCCCTGACTTTATTCCAGCCCCCAAAAAGTTGGCAACCCCTGCTAATATATAAAGCATAGACATTCTATCATGGTAAAGGGTTCAAAAGAGGACATTTCAAGAAAATGGACCCAAGAAGCAGGCTGGTGTAGCCTTTTTAATATCTACCAAAATAGACTTCAGACAAAAAAGAAGAGATATGGAACGACAGTATATACTTATCAAAGGAAAAACCTGCCAAGAGGACCTTTTGGTTCTTAGCATCTATGCCCCCAAACACAAGGGAACTCATGGTTGTGAAAGAAACACCAATACAGCTTAAATCACATGATGTTCCTCACACACTGATAGTGTGAGACTTCAATACCCCACTCTCATAGACAGGCCATTCAGACAAAAGCTAAACAGAGAAATGCTGGAACAAACTGACACTCTAAATCAAATGGACCTAACATATTTACAGAACATTAACCACAGACAGAAGAATATACTTTCTTCTCTGTATCTCATGGAACTTTCTCCAAAACTGATGACACATACTCATTCACAAAGCAAGTTTCAATAGATAACATTATAATAACACCCTACCCTATCTGACCACCACAGACTAAAGATGGATATCAACAACAACAGAAACAATAGATCTACAAGCTCATGGGACCTGAACAACTCTCTACTCAATGAAAATGGGTCAATAAGAAAATCAAAAAGCTTTATAGAATTTAATGAAAGTGAATACACAGTATACTCAAACTTACGAACACAATAAAGGCAGTTCTAAAAGGCAAGTTCACAGCACTAATTGCCTACATGAAAAAAACCCTGGAGAAATATCATACTAGCAAGTTAACAGCACACCTGAAAGCTCTAGAATGAAAAGAAGTGACTACACGCAAGAGAAGTAGGTGGCAAGAAAAAATTAAATTCAGGACTGAAATCAATAAAATAGAAACAAACAAATAGAAGGAATTAATGAAATAAAGAGAAATAAGGTTGACAAACTTATCCATAGTATGGAAAGCCCTTTTGTATATGTGTTGCTTTTATTGGTTACTAAAGAAGCTGCTTTCAGCCAATGGCTTAACAGAATATAGCCAGGCTGGAAGAAATAATATATAGAGAGAATAGGTAGAGTCAGGGAGATGCCATGGAGTCACTGCTGCTTTGGCCTATAGCAGGTTAGAATATAAACAGGTTGGAAGAGATTTATGTAGAGAGAGTAGGCAGAGTCAGAGAGATGTCATTTGGCTGCTGAAGGAGAAAGACACGAGAACAGAACCTTACCTGGTAAACTACAGTTTTGTGGCAATTACACAGATTAATAGAGATGGGTTAATTAAGATGTAAGAGTTAGTTAATAAGAAATCTGAGCTAATAGGCCAAACAGTGTTGTAATTAATATATTTCCTGTGTGATTATTTGGGTCTGGGTAGTCGGGAGATGAAAGAGCAGTCTCCTTCTACAAAACAGATTTCTACCAGACTTTCAAAGAAGAGTTAATGCCAATATTCTTCAAATTATTCTACAAAATAGAAATAGAAGCAACTTTGCCCAATTTATTTTATGAGATCACAGCCTAATACCCAAACCACGTAAAGACCTAACAAAGAAAGGGAATTATAGACTAAGTCTTGAGTTGCATATGAAAGCAGCTGAGCAAGCCATGAGGAACAAGCCAGTAAGCAGCACTCTTCCATAGCCTGTTTCAGTTCCTGCCCTGCTTGATTTCTGGCCTTGGCTTTCCCTCAATGATCGACTATGATCAGGGTGGTTGTGTAAGATGAAATAAACCCGTTTCTCCCTAAGCTGTCCTTTTAATCGCAGTAATAGGAAACAAAGTAAGACTCTTACAGAACTCCCTCTTCCTTGTCAAGTGAGCCTAATGACTGAGAAGTTGGGCTCAAGTTGGGGAATTCTTTAGGTCAGTTGAACTCCATCTGATTGTGACCACAGTTGCAGTGTCTATGTTGAAGTTACTGACTAGACCAGAGGTCTTATTTTTATTTTTTTGGCTTTCTGGCCTACGGTGGCTCTAAGACTGGATTTCAAAGGGGCCATCTAGAAACCCAGAGTTCCAACAGAACTGGAAGAAGCCCCAGTCTGGCATCACAGTGACCTTTGTCTTGGAAAGGAGGATAGAAACTGTCTTTTGTCATTTTCTAAGCATCACTCACAAACCCAATGAGAGGGGAATCAGACTCCCTTCAGCTTTTGAAGGGAAACCAGTCAGGTCATGGAAAGTTCTCTCTGGGTAGGAAGATCCTCAGTTGTGTCTGCCTTTACCTTAAAAATTTGAAGGTTAAGACAGGAAGAGGAAGGCAAGGGAGGATGTATGTGTGGAAGCTCACAGGCTCAATGACATGAGATTCAACTTGACCCTACTTTCCATCTGTGATCTTGAAAGGCAACCAATACATACAAGGCTCAGAGTCCATATATATCTAAGCTATATTAGAATGGCCTTAAGTGTTCCATTTTCAACTCTTGTCTTCCTAGCTGAGTTCCCAGAAACCACTGAACAGTTAGGAACCATATGTGAGGTCTCCAAATTTACCCACCAAATAATAAAATGGCTGTTGTTTTCTGCCACTAATTCGGAATTGCTCATTACATAGAACATAGGCAACACATATTTCCCAAGCTGCAGGTTGCATCTTCTGATCCACTTGTTTCATACTTTATAGGCAATAATATGAGGTAATTTACCAGCTAACACACCTTTGGACAAACTTAAGCCCCATTTCAAAAATATCAACACACTTTATTAGGTTGTTGAAACAAATACCCTGAGTTAATAACTGCACCATGACTGATGTGTGTGAAATGGTGAATGGACGCTTAAAAGAAATCCCACACTAGCTCAGAATTGAGAGATAGTTATTTATTTAGGGATAAACTCACAAATCAGAATTCTCCGCTTGACCGGTTAAATCATGTGCTTGACCGGAAGAGCAGCCGGCAGAAAAGAAGCAAGGGGAAGGAGAAAAGGAACAACCCGGACTTTTCATTCGCGTATATAGTATAAGAGGCCATGCCCCAGTAGGCAGATACTTACAAGCTGAAGGTCTTCCTAGAGCATGTGTGCATCCTTGTAACTCATTTCACATACATTTGACCTTACAGCATATACTTGGTCCTGTCTCCAAGTTGTATTTGGTTAAGAGAAAGGTGAGTCATTCACTCAAGAGGGCATGATTATATATGCTCTATAGGGCCAGATCCTAAGGGCTCTGGTGTGTTTGTGTGTGAGCATGTATGCACATGCTGGAGTTAAACTCAGGGCTTCATATATGCAAAGCACATGCTCACACACTGGGCCACAACTCCAGCTCTAGAATGTTTTCAATGTCATAAAGAACTTAGAAGAGCAATGTGGAACCCTGGAGAATGGATGAAGTGGGCTATGTGATCTGGAGATTTTTTTCAACATAGTATTTTTATTATTTGTGAATTTCACATAATGCATCCTGATCTCACTTGCCCTTCACCCTCAAGACCTCCTCCCCCATAAAAGAAGAAACAAAAACCAAGTATGTTTTTAATTATGTGTGCCTGTATGGGAATGTATAAGTGCAGGCGCCGAAGTGTGAGATCCCCCTAGGCTGGAATTATAGGTAGATCTGAACCTACAAAGGTGAATGCTAGAAACTAAACTGGGGTCCTCTGCAAGAGCAAGAACTTTTAACCATCTAGCCACCTCCCAACCCTGAAGAGTTGTTATTTTAGTCTGATTGTACACCATGGCATACAGAGAACTTGTAGAATCAACTTGTAGAATCAGTTCTCTCTCTACCATATGGGTCCTAAGGATTCAGCTCACATCAGACAGCTTGGTAATAGGCCCCCTTTAACAGTATTGTTAGTTCTTTATTTTTTTGACCTGAAGATTTTTTTTTAAATCAAATTTGAAAATGGGCATCAAACACATGCTCTGGTGTTGCTAGTGTTTTGTCATTTAACACAGATGAGCAACTAGCCAGGGAATCTTCTCTCCCTCAAATGGTTCTTTAGGAAAGATGGCAACATAAAGCTAGCGGATAGTCCCATGTATCCCTGGATTCACTAGGGACTTCTAGACCTTTGGGCCTCCAATGATTCCTGCTGTCTGCACAACTGAACCATTCCATCACAGTGGCCTAAAGAATAATCTATTCCCCCAAACTACCTGGAACTTGGGACCCAATCACCCAATCACTCTAGCTTTAATAGATCTGCTACAAGTATATGATAAGCTCCCCCCCCCCCCAAGACAGTTTCTCTGTGAAACAATCCTGGTTGTCCTGGAATTTACTTTGTAGAGCAGGGTGGTCTTGAACTTAGAGAGTCGCTTGCTTCTGCCTTCTGAGTGCTGGATTAAAGGTGTTCACCACCACTGCCTGGCAAAATGTTTTAATTTTGCTCATTTAAGCATCAGGTCAACATTTGCTTAAGCAGGTATATTAGGGTTCTCCAGAGTAACATAGTTGAATCTTTTCATTCTCTCTCATATGTATAAATACACACACACAAACACACACACAGAATTAGAATGACTTACAGGTTGTGGTTCAGCTAGTCCAACAATGGTTGTCTACCAATAGAAGGTCCAACAATCCAGTAGTTGTTCAGTTCACAAGGCTGGATGTCCAGTTGGTCTTCAATACACACCAGAATTACTATGTAAGCTCTAATACCAGTGAAAGAATGAACTAGCATGAGAGGAAGGAGGCAGAGAGAGCAAGTTTCCTATGTCCTTTATGTAGGCTGTCAGCAGAAGCGGTGGCCCAGATTAAAGGTGGAGTTTCCCACTTCAAAAGATTTAAATAAGAAAAAATTCTTCACAGATGTACCCAGCTGCTTGTGTTTTAGTTAATTTCAGATGTAGTTGACAACTGAGTATAGCCATCACAGCAGGAAACACAAATTTTAAAGCAATTATATTTATTTATTTATATACATTCTTTTGAATTTGTCACTCACATACTTTATTTTGTATATAATTAGCAGTTCTGTGTTTGGTTAACTGGATTTTTAAATGTAGGAGCATTTTCATGTTTTATATTTTCTTTAATGGCTAAATGAAGCAATTACGAACTCCCTGATTGTTTCACCTGCTGGGTGGTGTCCTGAGCAGTCCTTCAGGCATGGGACTCTCCTGCAAAGTCTGCAGAGTGCATCTCAAGGCTGGCAAGGCGGTGGTTTGAAAGGCACTAGGACTGCAATTTGGACTGCTTCTTTTTGAACCTCATCCCGTGTGTTTTCTGATGTCCAATAAGGTGTGAGCTCTGAGTGAAAGCCCTCCCACACTTGGTGCACACATATGGCCGCTCCCCAGTGTGAGTTCTCTGATGCCTGGTAAGGTGGGAACTCTGGCGGAAGGCTTTACCACATTGCTGACATCGGTAGGGCTTAGCCCCAGTATGAGTTCTCAGGTGCTGAGAGATGGCTGAGCGATCATTGAAGGTCCTGCCACACTCTGAACACTCAAATGGTCTCTCTCCACTATGAATCCTATAATGCTGTGTGAGGGAGGAGCTCTGAATAAATGCTTTCCCACAGGCCCTACATGTGTACGGCCGCTCTCCTGTGTGGATCTTTTTATGGACAGAGAAATACCTAGCATTCTGGAATAGTTTACCACATTCACTGCACCGGCAAATTTGGCTCCCTTTGTGAATCTTGATGAAAAATATCTGCTGAGCATGCTGGCTGACAGCTTTCTTACAGTTGTTGCCTTTCCTGGGAGTCCCCTCTTCAGAACCTTTGTGGTAAGTTTTCACATGGGGGCTATATTTGATGGACGTGTTGACTTCCCTGCCTTCCCCTCTTTCAGAGGTCTTTAGGTGAACCTTTATATGGGGACTGCGTTTGATGGAAGTACTCATTTCTCCGACTCTTCCACTGTTAGAACCATTCTGGTTCATTCTTACATGTTTCAAGGAATTCCTGTTTCCCTGCATTTTACCCCCTTCACAGCCTTTCTGGAGAATTTTTACAGGCGAAGCCTGTGTCAAGGAATTGTTCCTGTCCCTGGCTCTTCCTTCGCCAGACCCTGTCTGGTAATTTTGTATAGATGACCCTTGTGTCACAGAATTGCTGCTTTTCCCAATTTTACCCCGCTCAGCACCTTTCTGTTGTATTTTTGTAGACGTATCAGGTGCCATGGCGTTGTTCCTGTCCCTGACTCTCCCTTCAGAGCTGGCGGTTTTCTGGTACACCTTTGCAGGTGTTGTAAGCATAACGGGATCTCTGCTGTCCCAAACTTTACCCTGCCGGTGGTTTTTTATACAAGGACCATGTGTCTTAGAATTGCTGCCATCTCTGACTTGCCGCCCCACAAAGCCCTTTTGCTGTTTCTGTATGGTTGAATCTCGGGTCATAGAAATGTTTTTTTCCTTTGCTTTTCTCTTTCCTGTGCCCTTCTTGTTAATTTTTACATGCAAGTGCTTTCTAGGCAGAACATCATCAAGTGAGCCCTGGCTTATAAGAAGCCTAGTTTGCCCCTGAGACTGCTGGCTTTCAGAGAGCTCTTCCTGAGGGAGGTCTTTTTTCTGTACAGGCTTGACCTGATTTGATTCTATGGTATGAATTTCTTGGACCTCATCTTGAGAGATATTTTCAAAGACAATGGGCTGAGCAACATTCCTTGAAAAATCTTTTGGCTTTGGGTTGTGACTTGGTTCTACCACAGAACTGGGAGATTGTGGAGTTAACTCTTTGTTTCCCAATGTAGGCTCCCACCCTGAAAGAAATCAAAAGATAAGCATGGTGGAGTTAAAAGTGCCAGAGTGACAGCATAACAAACAGTATTAAAAAATGAGATTACATCCTCTCCTCAAATAGCCAAACCAGGACCAATCAAACTGGGGGCCAAGATACTGGGTGAGGGCAAAGTGATTACTCTCATTCCCCCAGGCAACCTGAACCTGAGGCTTCTGCATACCCAAGGTTCCCTACCCTGCAGGGTCACAGGTCCAGATAAAGGTCCTGAACAGAGTGTGAGACCCGAGAGCACAGCCACTCCTGACAATGAGCAGAGATGAAGTGTGTACCCGAGGGAACCCTGTGGCAGTCTAAATGTAGGCACGGACTTACCCACAGAGACCAAGTTATCCAAGGTCTCCAGCATAACATCACGATACTCAGTCCTCTCCACGGGACCTAGCAGTCGCCACTCCTCCTGATTGAAGTCCACGGCCACATCCTGGAAGGTTACTGGCTCCTATAATGTTATACAAGTTTGGTATTTGTCAAAGGGGGCAGAAGAAAGGCCACTGGGAAGTTAACAGGCAGGGACTCCTTTGCTTTGGTGGTTTGCTCAGAGACAATGACTTCTCCAGCACAAAAGAGATCCACAGGGTATTTCTCCAAAGTAAAGTCTGGGTCTCATGCTGGTAGACAAAGTCCATGATTGACAAAGAGCTATAAGTGCAATAAGTAAGCCACATCAATCACAGTAGCTCTGTATCAAGGATGCACTGTCTCCCTCTAGAGACATCTTGTCCCCTAGAGTAAATCCCACAAGAAGATGCAGTTCTTGCCTTTGTGGACAAGTCTGACCTATGTGTAGCATTCATCTATGCTATGTCAGTATTTTTTTCCCCTCTTTCTTTTCTTTTAGTTTTTTGAGACGGGGTTTCTCTGTGCAACAATCCTAGCTGCCCTTAGGATTGTAGACCATGCTGTCCTTGAACTCAGAGATCTGCCTACCTCTGTCTCCTGAGTGCTGGGGTTAAAGATGTGTGGCACCACTGCCTGGCTGCTACTATGCTAGTTTTTTTATGAGCAGCTAAAGATTCTGAAAGGAAGACTCCTTCACTTCACCAAGTTGCCTAGATTGGGGAGGGGGTGTAATTTGTCCAGCTGGAGAAGAAACTACTTTAGAAGGGACAGAATTTGGAGCAGCAAGTTTGGGATTAATCAGTTTCTTCCAATTCCCAGGCAGCAGCCTTGCTTGAAGCCTACTCTAGACTGCTCATTACATGAGAGTCAACAATTTCAGTCACATGTCTGAGCCAATATAAACCACGTACACAACAAACACCATTGACTCATCCCATATACACATCATATTTTAAGGCTGGCAGGGCTAATCCTGCTGCATGCACACTTCCTCAGCGGAGTGTTCCCGAAGAACAAGGGCTCTCTCATTGTAACCAGGGAACAGTGTGGTTCTTACAGACTGCCTGTCGTTGCTCTGCTTTCTTTGTTCATCAGTCTCGGTTCACTTACTCCTGCCTTTTGCTTTCTCTACGGTCAGGTCACAATATCAGGAGCAGGGCTGCCCTTCACACTTCGGTTGTTTCAGAACTCCACTCAGTCCTAAGAACTTAGAAGGTTGAAACTGCCTATCTTGTGTGAACCTCAGCAAGGCTCAGTGTAGAAGGGGTCATCTTACGGGTGTGAAGCTGTAACCTAAAGAACAAAACCTAAGCTTCTTACTTACCTCAGGTGATACAATAGCTGGTAAGGTGGCCACGTCCTTTTTCTCCTCTTTCAGTCGACCAGTGGCCTCATTATGGCAGGCAGCCAGAGCTGGAGGAGACATCACATGAATGGATCAGTGGGGTGGCAGCCCTTAGGCAAGCAGAACTGCCAGGATCTTCGACCCTTGAGTTGTGCATATACATGTCCCTTGAAGGTCTATGCTGACCTCTTCACAATGGATAACTAATTCCCATACCTGGAATGGCCTAGATTGTCACCCTGCAAGGACCACTAAGGGACTGGTTTTTCATTATTAAAACCTTTTATTGCCTTCTCCCTCCAGCTTCTGTTTTTCAGGCTCTGGCCTTATACTTTCTTAGTGGTAAAATCTATTTCTAGCCCGCAAGCCTTCATCAGGCTTGTGTGGCTGCCCTTCCCTTCTGCTGCCCTGGAGAAAGCTCTTTCTTTGGCCACAGGTTGTGTACCCATTTTGTGCTTCTGTCATATTAAATAATCCTGGCCAGTGCTAACAGCCTTCCCACAGACTCCTTCAGGTCTGGCCACGCTCCATGGGCTTTAACAATACTGAGTCTACTCCAGCCAACATGGGCACAAATGTGACTCAGGTTGTTGGTCTACCACGATATTACTTCCAAGATATGGAGGACTTTCAGAGCTTTTGCTGGAACGTTTAGGAAAGAGACATCATATGTTTGGAAGCCTTAATGGGAATGAAGCCAGCTCTAGGCAGCCAACTGAGATATGCAGAAAGGTTAAGTTAAGGTGCTTATTGAAGGTATAGAACTAGGTATAGATGTTCCTAGTTCCTAGAGTTAGAACATCCTTGAATTCTTCCAGTAATTCCAGTAAAATTTCCTTCTTGGAGCCATTTTTAAGTTTGTTTGTTTGTTTGTTTTTTTATGACACCAAAGAATCCCAACTAGTACACTGACCACAAATAGTTTTCTCAGGGTCATTAGGTTGTGACATGTTAAACATAGGGCAAACTAAATTTCATCTCATAAGCACTACTGCTTGTTTGGTGTTTGTAATTGTGGTCTATGTGCATGAGGGTATATGCATGTTACAGTGCATGCAGAGGTCAGATGAGGGCCTCTGGTGTCCTGCTCCATCACTCTTTGCTATATTTCGTTGAGTATTGACCTCTCACTGAACTTGTAGCCAGGCCAGCAAACCCTAGTGATCTTCCTGTCTCCATCTCATCCAATAGTGTAGTTACAGGCATGCATGACCATAACGAGATTTTTTTTTTAAAATGTAGCTTCTGAGAAGTCAGATTCCAGTTAATGGTTGTTAACTGCACCCCACCCCCAAATTCTGGGGATTAAACCCAGAATTGCAATGCAGTCCAGGTTAAGTGTTCCACTATTGATGACAGCCCCAGCAGGTTTCTATTTTGAGGCAGTCATGGTAAGTTGCTCACACTGGCCTTGAACTCACTTGCAGCCCAGGCAGGCCTTGAACTAGAGACTTGACTTGACCTCTTAGGTATCTTAGATTCTAAGCCTATGTCATTAGGTCTGGCAAAATATATTAAGGTTTCAGAGATGAGAGCTCTAGCATCAGTCTCACTAGCCTAAAGTCAAGACTCTCACAGGAATATGTTCTTTTGGATAAGGAAAGAACCCATTCTTTATCTTTTCAACTTCTACAGACTACCCAGAATTCTTGGCTCATGGCCCACCGGCATCCACTCAGCCTCCTTTCTTCCTCATTCTAGTCCTAACAGGTATCAGTGACAGAAGCAGCCTAGATAAACTCCCCCAGTATCCCGACCTTTCCACCACCTTAGCACTGTCATGTGTATTCACTTGTCATAGCACATCTCTCTGCAGGACCACAGGCTCAATAAACTACAAAGAACTGGAAGGCTGGTTGTGTGTCAGGGGTACCAAGAGAACAGGGGGAGGAGAAGCACTGTATCTGAGCTTCCATTGAAGCCCATGAAGTTTTTGTTTGGGAGAACAGGGCAGGATACCAACCACTTCAGATTTCTTAGCTTTGACCTAGTAAGACGTGGAAGACACAGATGTTTGTGGTCTGGAGTAGGAACAAGTCATCCTTAGTTGGCTTGTTCCTCCACTACTCTTCATTCCTCCTCAAAGCCTTCATAGAGAAGTTTCTCACCTCACCCTTCCATGAGACTCACCATCTTTCTTAGACATCGAGGTCCTCTTTTTCACCAGGGCCACCGCTGCCTGGCAGTCCTCTGGGTGCTGTGATTCTACCCATACCCGCAGCTTCTCAGGCAGTGCATTCAGGAACTGCTCCAGCACCAGCAACTCCAGGATCTGTCTCTTTGAATGTGTATTGGGTTGCAGCCACTGGTGACACAGCTTACGAAGCTGAGACACAGTCTTCTGGGGATCAACTGATTCTTCACACTGGAAATGTCGGAACTTCTGGTGAGCGACTTCCGTGTCAGCCAAATGCTTGCTTGCTTGTTGAGCTGGCTTGAGGCTACTTGGGCTCAGGTCTTCTCCATTTTCAGGATAGAGGGATTGAATCAGGGCATTCCGGGGACCAGCTACATCCTTGTTCAGTGTAAGGACCTCAACGACCTTGATCTTCATCAAGGGATTCTCATCAGGAAAGGAATTTATTTCATGGTCCAGAGAAGGCCCAGAAGATTCTATGAGTCAAAACCAGAGTAAAAACTAGGCAGGGTGGCACACTCCTGTAATTGCTATCCTTGGGAGCCAGGGGCAAGAGGGGATCCCTGGAGTAAGAGTCTAGCAAAGTTTATATATTCAGTTCTAGGCCAACCAGAGTCACAAAGACAGACTCATCTAAAACACAAAGACAGAGTTGAGTATGTAGCTCAGTTGTTAGGGAATTACCTGGCATTTGGGAAGCCCTGGGTTCAATCCCCAGCAACGTATTAAAACTAGGGAATGAAATGCACGCCTACAATCCCAGTACAGAAGAGATAGAGGCAGAAGGATCAACCTTGGCTATAGAGCAAAGTCAGGCCAGCCTAGGATACTTGAGACCCAGTTTTATATACATGTTTTAAGGAACATAAATATTGCTTTATTCAGTATATAAGCAGCTGTCTTATTCTTATATACAAAGAACAATTCTTAAGTTACATGCACTGCAGCCTAGCTGTATTGATTACCCCCTCTCCTGTATAGATTTTTAACTTGTGTTTTATTTTGTACACCAGTTGTTTGTAAATCATTGTTTTTATTTTGTCTAAAAAGAAATGAAGTTCACGCACTACATTTTTCCTTCTTTCTAATTTTTCTTTCTTTGCCTAGGGTCTAGCACACACTTACTGAATGTTCAACCACTGAGCCATATCAATGAGAACTCACACTTTTTTTGGAGACAGGGTGGCCAACATGGTTGGCCTTGAACTCTATGTAGTAGAGCAGGACTTTAAAATTCTGATGTTCTACTTGCTTCCTGAGGTCAGAGATTACAGGAATTCAGAGCATACCTGGTTTATGTGGTACTGGGGATTCAGCCCAAGGCCTTGTGCATGTTGGGTAAATAATTTGCCAGCTGAGCTACATCCCCATCCCTTCTTTTTGATTTTTATTTGAGAACAGGTGCTCACTAAATTGACTGGTCTTGAACCTGTGATTCTGCCTCAGTTTCTAAGTAGCTGGGATTATAGCCCTATAACACCAGGCCTAGCTATTTGTTTCTTGCTTTAAAATTTTTTTTTTTACTTTTTCAGAGTAATATCTCTCCCTCATCACCTCCCCAAAATACTTGCTTCAATGCTTTGCACATTGATTTTAGAAATGTATTTGAGACTGCCCAGTTACCTTAGATTCTAAGTATAGATGTTAGAGGATGGTATACACTTAAGAGAATCATAACATACATATTTGAGACAGACAGATAGATGGTAAACAAAGGTCCTAGAGAAACAAATACATGAAAGATGAGAGAAAATGTGCTCTTTACAAAAATCAACAAACCATGCAAACACACTACTGGACTAGGCTCTAGCCAAAGACATGGTCACTCTAGATTCTGGTCTCTCAAACAAATCAGTAAGACTCTTGAGTCCTCAGAGGTCTTTGAAACATTTTCTGTCTCAAAATTTCCCTTTACTCTCTCAAAGCCTGGACTCACACTGAAATTCTTTCTGAAGACATGCCCTTGTTTCTTGGGATTTCTTTTGCTATGTATTCACTCGGTAGTATCATTCTAACCTCCAAGCAATTCACTCATATTAACCAACTGCAATGGATAGAATTATAGTAATGATGGCTCATTTAGGTCAGATAACAGAATCAGGGAAGTCAGAAATTGCTTGACTACAATTATAAATTCGTGTTATTCAAAGTTTGTACAGGGTTTGTACTTTTATGACTTCTGACATTTCCCTTTTCTTATTCTCCCTAGTCCTTTCTCTTGAGCATCTTTTTCATTCTCAGAAAATGTAGGGGTTAAAGCTGATAGAATACATCTAAATGGTCTTTGCCCATATGAGTCCTCTGATACAGAACACAATGAGGACTCCTACTGAAGTTTCTTGCATCGTCATGCTTACAGGGATCCCCATCAGGAAATTCTTTAACCTTCAGTGGCTTCCTAACAGCGATGATTTTCTTCAGACTAATGCTGGCATGACTGCGATGGCAAGTAAGAGAGCTGCACGAGGAGCTGGCTCCTCCTGCACATTCTTGCGGCTTCAGAGTTCTCAGAGGCTATAGGCTATTATTTGGTATAAGAAAATTTCCAAACATAAAATTGTTATTTTTTCTGGAAAGGGGGGGGTCTCATGTGAATTTTCTCCAGGTAAGACTAACTTAGGTCAGAAGCTGTTCCCGTTCCAATCATATTTCTAAGCTTTCTTTCCTTAGAGTGAGTTCTCAGAGACTGAAAATTGAAAATTTCACAGAAACCCTGTACAGATTAATATCTGGTTTTATTCTTCTAATAGTTAAGGAGGTCCAAGCTGAGCTAAAATTGGGCTTTCTCACACTAAATACACTGCACATTGTTTTTTGTAACACACACACACACACACACACACACTATACAAAGATCTCAGAGAACAAATACATGAAAGATGAGAGAAAAAGTGTTTTTGGACAAAAGTCAACCAGTCACGCAAGCACTGTACTAGGCTTTAGATAAAATGTATGGCCATTCAAGATTCTAGACTCTCAAACAAATTCATAAGGTACCGAGCACTCAGAGTTGTATATATGTGAAATTCCTTCATTTTCCATATATTCTAAACTTTCATATAATTATTTCTTTCATTTCCCATGTTTGTTCATTTTCATTTTCTGTTTGTTCTAGCATATAGACATCCTCTTAAGCTATACAAAGAATTAAACCCTGCAATATCTGCCTCTTTCTCAAACAAAAAAGAAAACACTTGTTTTGTAATTTAAATTCAAATATATTTATAAACCTGTTTACTGTTTGAAAGTGTTGCCACAATCAAATTTATCAGGTTCAAGTCACACTTCTTTTTTCCCTTTTTGTTTTTCTAGACAGGGTTTCTTTGTATAACAGTCTTAGCTGTCCTAGAACTTTGTAGACCAGGCTGGTCTCAAACTCACAGAGATTCACCTGACTGCCTCCTGAGTGCTCGAATTAAATACATGCGCCAGCACCACCTAGCTCCTGCTTCATTTCTTAAGTTGACAATATCAAATTTTGGGCTAGAGAGATGACTCAGCAGTTAATAGCAATGGCTGCTTTTGCAGAACCTGGGTTTCACTCCCAGCATACATACAGGGTCGAAACCACCTGTAACTTCAGTCCCAGGGAGGATGCCCTCTTCTGGCCTCTGTGGGAAATGCATGCATACAGTGCACAAATACACACACAGGCAAAATACATGCACATAAAAGGAAAAAATTAAAAAGAAAAAAACATTTTTGGAGGTTGTCTTTTGATTATAGCTTGTTCATTTACTAGTTAGTCTCTTTCTCTCACCTTCCTTTCTTTATTTCCTGACAGGTTCTATGTTACATTGGTAGACTAGAATTCATAGATCAGCCTTCCTCTGCTTCCCAAGTGATTTGATTAAAGGTATGTGCCACCATGCCTGGCCAAAAATCTCTTTTATGCATTGATTTTCTAATGATTAAGACTAGTTAATATTTAAGCCTTTCACTTGAGGGACATACATGTGCTTTTCTGAATGACCAAAGAAAGACAACAGCCGAATATATGAGCCATGCCCCTGCCCCTTTTTCCTTTTTCAAGACAGGGTTTCTCTGTGTATACCCCTGGCTGTCCTGGAACTCACTCTGTACACCAGGCTGTCCTTGAATTCACAGAGATTCAACTGCCTCTGTCTCCTGACCGTGCACCAACATCACCCAGGAAGCACAACCTAATCCATTTTTTCAACATTTTCCCATGCAGTCACAGGATCTTATTCAGTTCAGAGCTTTCTTGAGGAAGAATGACATTTACCTTAAGATTTATCCATTTTCTCATATCACTTCAACAACCACATCCCATGATGTCATTCTAGCTATGGTGGAGAACTGGAGAGGCATGCAAGCTGAACTGTGAAAAACAACCCCAGCTTTCGATTAAATCTCTGTTCTGTGCATCAATAAGCAGCACAGCACACCACTGTTGGGAGACTAGAGGAGACCTGTTATCTCATTTAATAGTAATATCTGACACTCTAAAATCTCATATTTTTATTTGCTATCTGGACCTCTTAAAATTCAAACAAGTACATTTGATTAGCTTAGCAAACCTTCTCGGCTGTGTCTAAAGCTTCTGTTCATTTCTCAGTTATCAACAGAACAAGTAGAGGCACAACACAGTTAAAGAACTTTTAAGGTGGATGCTATTGGGTAGTTCTTTACCTGATTAGCGTAAAGTTTTACTTAACATTATGTCTTTATGGAGAGAGAAAGAAAAACAAAGGTTTTACTTCTCAAAATAGGTTATACCAGCTTAGTCTGTTTGTGGGGCCCGGAGCAGCAGGACCAGGACCTGTCCCTGACACTTGAGCTGTCTTTCTGTAACCCACTCCCTACGCTGGGACGCTTCACTCAGCCTTGATGCAGGGTGAAGGAGCTTGGTCCTGCCTCAAGTGGATATGCCGTGCTCTGTTGATTCCCATGAGAGTCCTTATCCTTTCGGAATGGAGAAGGAGGAGGAGGGGAAGAATGGGTAGAAGGGAGGAGTGAGGAGAGGGAACGGGAGGAAAGGAGGGAGGGGAAACTGTGGCTGATATGTAAAATAATTAAAAAATTAAGAAACAATGAAATAGTTCATACCTTTAAAGTAAGTTAATTTAAAAGTTTCAAGTTATGTTTTCCTGGCAATACAAGGCTGGGTGTGTAGCCCTATGGCAGAAGGCCTGTCTAGCATATAAAAGGTCACAGCACCAGGCTCCAGAACCACAGAGAGAATTCTTACAGTGAACAGAGTACAAACAAATAGACAGAAAATCCCTTCAGGCTTCCTTCACTCATAAGAATTCTCAGCAGCTTCTTAAATCCAGTTTAGCTGTTCACTTACTAGATTCACTGAGTCTACCCTTGAGTCATACACACTCCTTAATTCTCCCTAAACCTGCTGCTGCTCTCTCACAGCGGGCAATTTCACCCCTAGATGCTACCAAAGCCTCCTTCCTTCCTCCATCTGTGTCCTGCCACAGTTTTCTTCACAAACCAACTAGAGCGAGCTGTAGAAGGCCATGACACACCACTGTGCAACAACAAAAGCCAAACTCACTGAAGATGACACCAGATGGAGATTGATAGGTGAACAGTGCCAGAGGCAGTGGCTCTGATACTACTCCCACCAGAGTATTACAAAACAAAGAGAAGCATCCGGTAGCACATGCTGTGCTTTATGTCCAACACTTAAATAGAAAAGTTGAGGACAGCAAAACCAGTGACTACCACCTCATCATTCACGAAGAGTAACACAAAGGTAGAACCTTATAGGGAGGCACTTCTTAAATCTGCTATGTGACCACTAACTACTCAAAGGAGAAAAACCATTTGGATTACCTTGGAAGATTCTGTAATGGAAATAGGAAGTATTATTGATTTTCATTCACTTCTAGCACTAGATTAATATTTATTCATTCAGATGAATGTTGATGTGAAACTAAGTTGAATCTAACATCATTCTCATCAAAACCTAGATATCTTCCCATTAAGTTAGGCCAGTTTCCCGCTCCTTACTTTCAGAATCGTGATGTGCTCAAATATGTGATGATGCAACTATGTAATTATCTAAAGCAAAGACAAAAATTAACATAGGGCTAAAGACATGGCTCAGTGGTTGTGGTGGTTTGAAGGAAACTCATACCCATGGGCTTATGCGTTGAATACTTGGTCCCCAGTTGGTGGATCTACTTGGGAAAGATTACAAGTTGTGGCCTTGTCAGAGGAGGTATGTCACTGGGGTGTTTCAAAGGTTCATGCCAGTCCCAGTTAGCTATCTCTCTGCCTCCTGCTTGTGGATCAGATGTAAGTGCTCAGCTATAGTTCGAGCACCATACCTGCCTGCCCGTTGTCATGCAACCCACCATGACGGGCATGGGCTAACCCTCTGACATGGGCTAACTGTTAGCAAGGCCCAAATACATGGGGTTGCAAGGTTTGGAGTTGCCTTGCTTGGTCTTGACCTTTTTTGCCTCAGTGTTTCCTTACTTTTCCCCTTTTGGAATGGTTACATATATTTTGTGCGATTTCTATGTGAAAGTATGTAACTAGTTTTTTAAATTTAAAGGGGATTCCAGGTAAGAGTCTTCCTTGAGCCTCAGAAGAGACTTTGAACTGCTTTGTTTTTACTTAAAATTTTATTCATTATTAAGTACTTTGGTGAGTGTATGCGTATGTGTGTGAATGCAGTGCCCTCAGAGGACAAAAGAGGGTGTCAGACGCCTTGGGACTGGAGTTACAGATGGTTGGGAGCCACCATCATGTGGGTACTGGGGATTAAACCTGGGTCCTCTGCAAGAACAGCCAGTGTTCTAACCACTGAGCCATCTCTCTAGCCCCCAAGACTTTGAACTTTTAAAGTGCTAAGACTGTGAAAGACTATGAGTTTTGATCTTGGACTGAATGCATTTTGTATTATGATACTGCCATGGGCTTATGGGGCCAGGAAGTAATATATCTGAATATTTAGTTCCCAGTTGGTAGAACTGTTTGGAAAGGATTAGGTGTGGTCTTGACAGAGGAGGTGTGTCCCTGGGAGTAGGTTTCGGGTTTCAAAAGCCCACGTCATTCCCAGATATCATGAGCTCTGTCTTGCTGCCTGCTTGTGGATCAGCATGTAAGCTCTCAGCTACTGCTCCAGCGTTATGTCTGCCTGCCTGCTGCCATGCTCCTCACCATGATGATCCTGGACTCACCTTCTGAAACTGTACGCAAGCCCTCACCTAAATGTTCTCTCTTATAAGTGGCCTTGGACATGATCACTTAGATGTTCACAGCAACAGAAAAGTAATTAAAACACCAATGTTTAGAGAATTTAGTGGGATAACAGATTCTTCTGAACAACCATGCAGGAAAGGATTAACAAGAACAGGTAACAGCAACAATATAAGTCTAATCAAATTTAATGTACATGCTAACAGAATATTGTCAACTAACCCTAGGCAAGGTGGTGTTATCCAAAGGACTAGATGGCCAAAAAAAAGTTGTTTTTTTTAATTACAAGGGGAATGAAAACTTGTTGAAGTTCATTAATATACAATAAAATGTATAGAATTATGGCATGTGCCACCAGAGAGGAAAAGCACAAAAGTTCAAAGTGAAGAGCACAGAAGAGGCTTTTACACTATGACAATAGTCATTTAGTCTATGGAAAGATAAGATGGTGTTCCCAACAAGCAGAAGAATAAAGCAGTATATGGGGCTGAAAGAACTCATGTCCACCAGGGACAAGTGAAGCTAGATAAATAGAATAACTACAAAAAAGTAAAAAATGCCTTAATTCACAAAAGTATGCAGACAATATGCCTATGTGGTTAAAATCAAAACCAATAAACAAAACTTGGAAGAGAAATAAAAAGAGGAGCCAATGTGGTAGCACACATTTGTAATCCAGAACTTCTAAGGTAGAGGGACGATCAGGAATTCAGTTAGGTAGCAGGTTGAGGTCAGACCTCATTTCAAAACAAAACAGAAAACCAAAGCAACAACCAAACCCCCTACCGCATGAACCCCAAATACCGTAAGTCCCACCCCAAATGAAGACTGAGGCTGTGGATGCTAGTTCAGTGATAGAGTGTCTGTGCTGCTTACTGTGTGAATGACCCGGGGTTAATTACCAGCACCATGAAAACAGTGACTGCGGATTGGAAAATAACCTGTACTAATCACAACATGCTGCCTGAGTTCCCGTGCTCTCCACCGCTTAGAAGACATTAGTCTCAGAACAATCCGTAGGCCCATCCCTTTGGGGAACTCCCTCATGCCTGGCTCTCACCTGGACAGGTATCTTGAGGAATTTCTCTCTCCACTGGCCAGAAGTCTTCTACTTCTTCTAACTGAGATATCACGTTTGGCTTGGAAAAGTGGTGTTCTGCTCAGGGGAAAAGAGACAGGGCTTGGGGAGTCTGCTTAGAGAACATGCTGTCCTGCTGTAACACCATTCCTTCCTGTCCCTATAATAATATTAGGACATAACGACTTTAGGCCTTGGGCAGTGACAACTACACATCCATTCCTTTAGTTGGATTTCTTGGGTTTCCTTAACAGCAGAGGAACCATAAAGTAAAAAAAGGAGATTGCTCAGTTGGGGGACATTCTGGGGAAGCTTTTGCTTCTTTGCTAATGTGACAGTTGAGAAAGAACTGGTCAGGAAAATCTACTTTGCTTGTTTCTGCCTAAACATAGGCATTAAGCTTAGAGCCACGGCTATGCAATAATTAGAACAGAAATCTTCCTAAGAACCACAAGAAAACAGTCTTTGATGATACCCCTGAGCAGATGGACACCGGTATTTCATACATGGGAAGCGTCTTTAAAGTTATAGGCAACTGTCACTGCAGCTATAAATAGCCCTTGTAGGCTCTGCCCAGCACTCAGGGGATCTGATATATTGATTGGATGAAATACCTGAAGTTATACCCAAAAGCTGCCTTTTTCTTTTCTACCAAGTTCTCCACTGCCGTAACACTTCCACTCTGGTCTGTCCAGGATAAGCCCAAGTGCAAACAGTTCACAGAAACATGTTTGCTTTTTAAAAAAAAAGGGGGGGGGGAGGAAGAAAGAGGTAGAGTCAAGAAGACTGTCCCTCAACTTCCCATCTTCGTCCTTCTCCACTTCTGGAGTGATGAGTTCATGTTCGCACCACCCACCCGAGGCCCAGACAGATCTTTATCAAGGTGGAGGCTGCCTTACCCACTGAAATCATGTTATTATAGTTCTCCAGCATGATTTCCCTGTATAGGCACTTCTGTTGGAGGTCCAGCTGTGCCCACTCGTCCTTGGAAAATGTCAGTGATACATCTTCAAACTTCACAGAGTCCTAAAACCCACAGAATGTTGTTCAGCCAGGGGTCTTCCTCTTCCACAGTGCCACGAAAATGGGAAGGCTGACCAAGATGACCCAGCAACATTCTACTTGTCTCATCTCAAGTTCCTTTGTCTGAATCCTTGAGCAAATCGCTCTGACACTCATCAGGAGGACGCGTGAGAACCCTAGTCTATGAAAACCTTTTCATTTCTCATTAGCCAGGGGATGGACTGTTGGTTCCCATCTACACTGTTTTTCTTTTTATTGTCACCTTCTCAAAGCAGTTGCTGAAACTAAATACGAGCCTATCTTCTCACACTCGTCAGTTTCTCCCCCACACCTCCAGCTTAAAAAAAAAAGGCAGAAAATAGTTTTAAAGCCCTGGAGAGATGGCTCAATGGGTAAAGGTGCTTGATCCCAAGCCTAAGTTTGATCTTCAGGACCCACAGGAAGGAGAGCAGCCATTCGGAAAGCTGTCCTCTGTCCTCTACACGCAGGTGCATACCCACACACACAATAGATGTAACAAAATTTATTTTTAGTTGAAAAGCTTCAATCATGCCTGTAGAATCCCCCGTTCAGAAATTGGTTTATTTGTTTCTTTCTTTTTCTATCTAACCACCCTCCTGGACAGCGAGGCAGTCCTTCACCTCCTCCCGGAAATCTAGGGTATTCGAGAACAGACGTCTCACCACCAGCCGCCCCCATCTGGGGCAGACTCAAAAGCTGAAAGAAACCTCTACTCACATGGGGCCACGTTGTTGGAAGCGTGGAGGCCATACTCTTCTCCATGTTCTCTCGAGGGAGTAGGCAGGGTGCTGAGAAAACTGAAGGTGGAAGGAGAGTGGGAAGGGCTAAGGACTGTGCTCGGAAGCTCTTTCCACCTCTGCCCTTAACCGGTCCCTCAGCAGACCACCCCCAAAATGAAAAATGCCCAGTGAGTCCTCTCCCCGACTCCCACTCGCCTATGAGAAAGGTTCCCCTCTAACCGCGAGGGACAGATCTTCTGATGTCCTCCAATCCAGAACGCTGTTGGTGTACCTAAACAGTGTATCACATCCAGAGCGCGATATATACCTCAGGCTCCAGATCCACGACTACACAGATCCTTCCGTGCCCGCAGAAGTGGAGGCGCAAGCAAAGCCGGCTCTGGGCTCCAGAGGGTGTAAAGTAATAAAAGACGGGTGCTGTCCCCGACGGGCATTCACGCACAGCACTCACAGTGCGTGCCAAAAGACACAATGGCGCTGGAGCGTCGGTCGGCCCCCGAACTGCGTCAGCTTACAGGTCCGGACTACAACTCCCAGACGCCCCCGCGGGCGTCGAGCGGCAGTACTTGGCGGCATTCGTCTTGTTGGCTGCGAAGCTGAAGTCCGTAGAAGTGTTGGCGGCCAGAGAACTAGGAAGAAGCCTTTTAAGGAGGATACTAAGTCGCTGAGCCTCAGGACCTCTGTTCACCGAGAACGAGCATGGAAAAACCGGAAGTTGGGAACGGGCAAGGGGTGGGCAGGAAGTGCTGGTCATAGGGCACAGGGTAGTGGGGAGGAGGTTCGTGTGTGGGTGTGGGTGTGTGGTTGTGGGACGGACAAGGGATAGGCAGGAAGTGCTGGTCTTAGAGTAGAGGGGAGGAAGTTGATGTGTGTGTGTGTGTGTGTGTGTGTGTGTGTGTGTGTGTGTGTGTGTGTAGTTGTGTGCGGGAGGTAGAAGACAAACTTAACAATTTCGTGAAGGTTCACAAAGTATAGAAACAGAAAGTCAATAGGCATTGGAATTAAAAGCTTGCCTAAGTTTCTATGAGAAGACAGGCGTCTGCGCCCAGATTTGTAAAGTAGGCAGGGCTGAATGGTCTCGCAACGTAAAGGTGGGATGTGTGGAAACTTGGTGAACATGAACTATGTGAACCATACTAAATGTCCCCTCCAGTTTTCCCCTGCAGAGGAAGGGACATGGAGGAGAACTAAAATTTCCCTCAGCCCCAGGGAGACTAAATGTAAATGTCCACACAGGGTCTGAAGAGATGCGCTGTTACTTGTACCCTACACATGGCGGGGAGGGGAGGTGCAGGTCCTGGTAACGTCGGTGTCCTGTGATTAGGTTTGCTCCTTGTGACCGACTGGATCATATCCAGGAGAAGGGAACCTGAAGTTTGCCGCTGACCATAATCTGGTATGTTTTTTAACTTTCTTGACAGCTCAGAATGACAAAGAACTCTATTGTATTCCTTATACTCTCTAGTATTCTATTCCTAGGGTCTCTTTGTATTCTGTTCTGACTAATGTAGTCTTGTCTTACTTGGGGGTCCAGATACTCTGATGTTCTCTTCGTGGCTATAGTATCCTTCTCCACCCAGGTTTTGTGTATTCTTTTGAGGTTTCTAAATAGGGTCTCAACAACTCTCTGTATTTGTGGTTATGTTGCTTGTCCTTTTTTTTTTTTTTTTTAATGCTTTGGAGCCTGTTCTGGAACTTGCTCTGTAGGCCAGGCTGGCCTCAAACTCACAGAGATCTGCCTGTCTCTGCCTCCCAAGTGCATGTGCCACCACCACCTGGCTATGCTGCGTTTTCTTTTTTTTAAAAAATTATTAAGTGTACAGTGTTCTGCCTGCATGCATGCCTGCAGGCCAGAAGAGGACACCAGATCTCATTACAGATGGTTGTGAGCCACCATGTCGTTGCTGGAAAATGAACTCAGGATGTTTGGAAGAGCAGACAATGCTCTTAACCACTGAGCCCCTGTGCTACTTATTCTTATGGCCAAAGTAGACTATACATTGTTCTTAATTTTTACTGCAATTAATTTTTATGTATTATATCAACTCAGAGATCATGCTATTTTTATTCTGATGGTGATGGACTTTATATCTTTCTTTCATTTATTCATTCATTCTGGGTCTCATATATCCCAGACTGTCCTTGAACTCTGTAGCCCAATTTAATTCCTCTGCTAGAATCAAAGTTGTATACCATCCTAGTGGGAAAATTTCAGAATCAATGACAGTAAACCAGGCATAGTAAGAACCAAAGATTCATAAGTTAACACTCACATGTGTATGCATAAAAACTTCAATAACTCAAACAATATTAGGATAAAGGGCTTTTTAACAGTAGAATCATAAAAATAAAATATGAGATTCATTTGTTGGGATGTGTAGAGGACCTCTTGTCCTATTTGAGGGTAACTTTTGAGGTGCCTGAGTAAACTTAAATGGATGAAAATGCTTGTATTCTAGAATTAGAAGCCAGTGTCACTTCTTCCCTTCATTACTAGATTCAATAATATTTCCAATATTAATGCAGTGGGGCTTTGGAGGGACTTGGCATCTTGGGCTTTGTTTTGTCCTTTCCCTAAACATGTAAGGGGAGGAGGGAAGGCATCAGCTCCTCCCCTACATAGAAATGATTTGGATTGGATTCAAACTCAAGGAGAAAAGTCCATAGAAATTACTTGTTCAGAAAGTGTGTGTGTGTGTGTGTAAAGGGGACAGGGGAACCATCTAGACAGCCCCAGCAAAAACTTTTAATGACTATATTAGAGTTTTTTAGAGGGATAGAACTGATAGAATGAATCTGTCTTTCTGTCTTGTCTATCCATCCATCTAAAGGATCGTGTGTGTGTGTGTGTGTGTGTGTGTGTGTGTGTGTGTGTGTGTGTAGGGGGGAGAAGGCAAAGATCAAGAGCTTCCTTCTATGTCCTTTGTATAGGTTGCCAGCAGAAGATGTGGGTGAGATTAAAGGTGGATCTTCTGACCTCAAAAGATCCCAATTAAAAGTAGACCTTCTTACTTCAAATGATTTAGTTAGGAAAGAAAAATCCCTCATAGGTGTATCCAGCCACTTTGGTTTTATTTAATTCCAGATGTAATCTGGTTGACAACCAAGAATAGTCATTATAATGACATTAGACTCTCACAAATAATTCAGGATAATCTTTCTTTCTCAAGATACTTAACACAGTTCCATCTGTAAATGCCTGTGTGCCCATGTGAGGTAATGTGCATACATGCTTATAAGGGTTAGTATAGTCTTCAGAAGAGAAAAGGAACATCATTATGCCCACCATAGGGAAGGCATCCTATACAGACATGCTTAGATTGCACTGGTCATAGATGATGACACATCTACTTCTTAGCTGTGGGAAAGGCAATACCCAGCGTTTTGACATCTATGGGAGGGAGGCGGTGGCAGGGTCTGCTGCACCAAAAGAGAGTGAAATAGCAACAGTCAGTACAGAGGTCAGCTTGAGTGAAACTCATCCGTTCCAGGGGCATCCTCTCAAGTTGAGTTTTCACAGGCCCAATCCGAGGGCATTTTATAGTGTAAATGTCTGGACTTCCTGATAGCAGAAATCTGGAATTGAGCAAAATCTCAATGTCCAGGGAATATTCAGGAAACAAGAACCTTGGCAGAAAGCTTATTGGTAGTGCTTGAAAGGAAAGATGGATTTCCATGGTAAGTAAGGAGAAAGAAAGGCTGAGTATTTCTTTCAAATAGGAAGGAAGACAACATTTCAAAGGATTCTTAGTGAACGAGAGGAGATCTTTAGGGTTCATGTGTGTGACCATTTTACTCATCCCTTCTCAGGGTACCCTATTAGCAGTCCATGGACGAGGATGTCCGACAGTCCAGCAGCAGGGATGAGTCCTCAGTGTAGCCATATGAGTTCATTCTGTTTCCATCGTCACTGCAATTAACCCACAGACCTCTGATCTGAGCCACTCACTGAAAGGTATCTTGATGGCAATTGGGTTAAATGAGTGAGCACAGATTGAGAAGCCTGTCGTTTTGATTAAAGATTTAGAAAATATATTAGGTTGGAAAATGGCCTCTAAAGATGCCAGGCCCTGATCCCTGTAACCTGTGACTGTTATCCTTATGAAGGACCAGAGACTTTGGTGTTTTTTTAATTAATTAATTTATTTATTAAAAATTACCACCTCCCCACCTCCCTTTTCTCTCCCCCTCCCTACCCCCCCCCCCCAGTCCTAAGAGCAGTCAGGGTTTCCTGCCTCGTGGGAAGTCCAAGGTCTTTCCCCCTCCATCCAGGTCTATAAAGATGAGCATCCAAACAAACCAGGCTCCCACAAAGTCAGTCCATGCAGTAGGATCAAAACCCAGTGCCATTGTCCTTGGCTTCTCAGTCAGCCTTCATTGCCAGCCACATTCAGAGAATCCAGTTTGATCACATGCTCCATCAGTCCCAGTCCAGCTGGCCTTGGTGAGCTCCCATTAGATCAGTCCCACCGTCTCAGTGGGTGGACGCACCCCTCGTAGTCCTGACTTCCTTGCTCGTGTTCTCCCTCCTTCTGCTCCTCATTTGGACCTTGGGAGCTAAGTCCAGTGCTCCAATGTGGGTCGGACCAGAGACTTTGTATATGTATTAAATGTGTTGTAATATGAAGATTATCCTGGATTACTCATTGCAGTCATGTGCCTTTATCAGAGGCAAGCAGAGAGATTTGAATACACAAATACACAAAAGAAAGTGTCGTTACCACAGAAGCAAAGGTTGGGGTTATGTACCCATAAACCAAGAAACTAGAACAACCACCAGAAACTGGTAGAGGCATAGAATTTATTCCTGAATAGTACTCCTGAAGCCTCAGTGTGATGCATAGTCCTGCCAACCCCTTGATTTCAATCAGTGATACTGATTTTATACTTATGGCTTCCAAAATAGAAGAATAAATTTTTTATTAAGGTTTATCTCTTATTTTAAGATATTTGTAGTAATGGAGTTAGAGCAGCCATAGGAATGCAAAACAAGTACATCTTATCTTTGCAGGCAGCTATAATGTAATTAACAACCAATATATGGGCTAGAGAGATATATAGTAGTTAAGAGTGCTTACTGCTCTTTCAGTGGGTCAGGGTTCAATTCCCAACACCCACCTTGTGGCTTACACTTGTTTGTAACTCCAGTTCCAGGGTATTAGACAACCTCTTTTAGTCTTCATGGGGAGGCATGTATGCAAGTGGGTAAAATACCCATATACATTAACAAAAAAGGATAATCAATATGAACACAGTCTAGGGAAAAGATGGAAATTGAGTGTTTGGAGTGATTGCTGACTGCTAGATCATACTGTTGCTTTAGCTATATTGGTGATCTAACTCTCTAAGCATATAAATGAAAAATTCTCTGATGGTGTTAGTCTGAGGTGGGCTAGCTGTTAATAGTTACAGAATCTCACTCATACAAGTGGCAGATCCATTTTTTGGTGTGTGTTTGCTTTTGGTTTGGGGTTGTTTCAAATCGAAGCATGAATCTCTGTGTCGCATTAATTGGGATTTAGTTTTAAATATCTTGTTATTTTAAAATTGTGTGTGTGTTTGTGTGTGTGAATGTGAATGTGCACAAGAGTACAGGTACCTGCAGAGGCCAGAGACTTATTCCCTGGAACTGGAGATTGTAGGTAGTTGTAAAGTTTCCTTGGATGCTGGAAAGTGAGTGAACTTGATCTTTGCAAGAACAATATGCACTGGTAAACACTGAGCTAGCCCCTACGGACTTATTTTATGTGTATGTGTTTGTGTGTTTATGTGCACACGTGTGTGCAGGTGCCCTCGGAGGCCCTGGAGCAGGAATTTGTGAACAGTCTAGTGTGGATGGTGGGACCTGCACTCCAGCTCTCTGACAGAGATAAATGCTTCTAATTGTTCAGCCATCTCTTCAGCCCCGGTATCTAGTTTTAAAATGACTTGGCATGACAGTGCACTCCTGTAATACTACTAGCACTTGGGTCCTAAGGTAGAAGGTTGACAAATTCAAAGTCGGCTTGAGCTTCATATGGAGTTTTAGGCTAGCTTGTGATACATAGTAAGTCCTCACTTCAAAATAATAAACAGTTTTAAAGCTAGGTGGTAGTGGTACATGTTTTTAATCCTAACACTTGGGAGGCAGTAGTAGGCCTATGAATTTGAGGCCAGCCTAAACAGCCAGGGACGGCAAAGATTATACAGAGAAACCTTGTCTCACAAAACCCAAAATCCAACCAAACAATAAGACATAAGAAGTACCAGTCTTTAAAATGGATATATGGAGGCTTGAGAGATGACTCAGTGGTTAAGAGCAGTGCCTGCTCTTCCAGAGGACCTGGGTTTGATTCGTAGCATCCACATTGTGGCTCACAAATTATATAATTCCAGTCTCAGGTCATCTGATGCTCT